AACAGAAGGAAGGAAGGAGCAAGGGAACAAGAGAGAAGGAGAGAAGGAAACATGAAAAGAAAAAGAGGGAGAGAGCAGAAAACAAAAAGAAAGGAAAATAAAATAAACAAGAGCCAAAGAAAAAGACAAGAGGAAGAGGAAGAACGAAGATAATGAAGCAAACAGACGGAAATAAGGGAAGATAATTAGAGAGATAAACAGAAAATAAAAATGACGCTCAAAAACACGAAATCCTATACACCAGACGCCCTTATAAAACTATATATTAATAATCAATAGGAAGAGAAAAAAATAAATTAATTAATTAATAGAATAAATAACGTAAATAAATAATGAATGAATATATAACTAGATTTAAAAAATGAACAAATAATAATTAAATGAATGAATTTTAAAAAAAACGAAAATAAAAAAATAAAAAAATTTCCTTTGATTAAAGATTTCATCTCTCACAGGAATCAAACCCATGAATAATAAACATACAAAACAATAAACATAGAATAAACACAATAACTTAAAAGACACGAAGTTCAGACACCCAAAACCCCAATAATAATAATAATAATAATAATAATAGATAAATAATGAGAAATAAAATTCTAAAAATAAATTCCCCTCGATCAAAGAAGGCATTTAATGGGGGAATAAAACCTATTGATGATAAACACAAACTAACTTAAAACACACGAAGTTCAAACGCCCAAAACCCTAATTAAATAGAAATAAACCCATTCTCACTGTCAAGATTTTCCCCTCGAGCAAAGAAGGCATCTAATGGGGGGAGGGGGGGCGGGGATAATACCCTGTTAATGAAGTTGTTCTCGTCGCCTGTGCCTTCGTCTGTCTGTCCCTCCAAGCAACGCCTCCCTTTGAATTCTTTGGGAAGAGGCTCTCAAAGGCTGTCCCAATCTCATGTTGTAATTGCAAGCGTTTATGATGCAACATTTATGCAACGGAGTGTTTGTCTGTTTGTTTGTTGGTCCGTTGTTTTTCGCTTGTCCTTGCAATGCCCTTCTTGCAGTGCTTTGAGGTTTGAGTTGTGAGTCGGTTGGGGGGGGGGGGGCGTTTGCTTTCCTTATTTTATTATTATTCTTCTCCTTCTTTCATTTCTAATTTTTTTTCTTACTTTTTCTTTGTCCCTTTCTTGTTTTTGTTTTGTTTTTTTCCCCTTTTCTTCTTCTTCTTTTTCTTCTTTTTCTTCCTTTTCTTCTTCTTTTCCTTCTTTTCTCCTTCTTCTTCTCTTTTTTTCCTGTTTTCTTACTTTTTCTTCTTCTTCTTCTTCTTCTTTCCTTCTTTTTCTTCTTCTTCTTTTCTTCTTTTGTTTTCCTCTTATTTGATTTTCTTTAGCTTATTCATCTTCGTCTTCATCTGCTTTTTTTTAGCTATAGATTTAGACAGATAGACAATAAATCCTTACATTTTTGTAGGATAACAATAAAGAAAATAACCTAAAAGATAGCTAGATAGACTGATGATTAACTAGCCATATATAGTGAGAAAAAATAACAACAAATACATTTTCATTCAGTAATTTAAATGATATGTATCATGAAAAAATGTATTTGATTAGGATAATTCTTTTAATGTTTAGGATAAACATTTACCAAAATTGTTTTTATGATCAAATAAAAGCATACCTTTTTCAATCAAATAAAACACATAATTTAACAAAATGATTTTCAAAACTTACATGAAACCATATAATCAATGAAAAGGACATTTTTAAATAAAATGAAAAACATACGTCACCAAAACTTTTTTTTTTTTAACAAGACAAAAACATAAATTTCCCCTAAAAAAAAGTTGTTGTTTTTTTCAGTTAAACAAAAACATATCTTTCAATAAAATAAACACATATGGTCCACCTAAAACAAAAATCTCAATCAAATAAAAGCACAACAATAAAGCAAAATAACTCTTTCTTCTCTCTCTCTCCCTTCCTCTTCTTCCAACAGATCGTGAACCCAGACGACGAGACTCAGTGCGTTACGTGTGACTGGGGGACGCTGCCCTCGCCTGAGCACTTGAGGTGTAACCCCATTCCTGAGGTGAGGTGGGGGTAAGGGGGGGGAGGGAGGGAGGGAGGGAGGAGAGGGAAGAGAAAGGGAGGAAGGGAGGGAGGGAGGAAAGAGAAGATGGAGGAAAGGGAGGAAGGAGGAAGGGAGGGAGGGAGGGAGGCAGGAAAGGGAAGAGGGAGGATTTGAGGGAGAAAAGGAAAGAGGAGGTAGGGAGAGAGGAAGGGAAAGATGAGGGAGGGAGGGGAAGAGTGAAGACGAGGGAGAATGGGAAAGGGAACAGGGGTGGGAAGGAGGAGGGAGGAAGAAGGAGAAGAAAAGGGAGGTTTAACCCCATTCCCGAGGTAAAAGAGAGGGAGGGAGGGAGGGAAGGGGAAGGAGAAGAGGGAAGGGGACTTAGGAGGAAGATGAAGGAGGGAAGCGGGAGGGAAATAGTAAAGGGGGTAGAGAAAAGAGCACTTGAGGGGTAAGAGGGAGGGAGGGAG